TTTGTATGCATTTGATTACTTGGGTAAGTCTTTTGATATTAAAAGAGCTTAGTTTTTGTCAATAGCTGGGTAGCATTTTGTATTTTCCTTTAAAATTTTTGTCACTTATCAAATAGATAACCAAGATCGTATTTAAGTGTTTTAAACCTTGTGCCATATTTATAAATGGGGCAGCACTGTGGCATAGGTGGTAAGACCGCCCCCTGCAGTGCCGCATCCCATATGGGCGCCAGTTCGTGTTCTGGATGCTCCTCTTCCGATCCAGCTCTCTGCTATGGCCTGGGAAAGCAGTGGAAGATGGCCCAAGTTCTTGGGCCCCTGCACCCACGTGGGAGACCTGGAAGAAGCTCCTGGCTCCTGGCTTCGGATCGACCCATCTCCAGTCATTGCGGTCATTTGGGGAGTGAACTGGCGGATGGAAGACCTCTCTCTCTGCTTTTCAAATAAATAAATAAATCTTTTAAAAAACTACTTAGGGAACATTGTTAAATAATAAGTGATGCTAAAGTTTCTTTAAGTTAGATTTATGGGTGTATGATTTATATGAGTGTTTCAAAAATTATGAGATTCCTGGGAATCTAATATATTACCAGTCATCATTTTGGTTATCATGTTAAAATGTGAGAGGCACATTACTAAGGCTTTATTACAATATCTTATTTCCAGATATGAACAGACAGCTTTAAGGAACTAAGGTTAACATTATAGAGCTAATAAAGACCCCATGGGGAAGAACTGGCCTGGGATCTTGAATATACGGTTCACATGGTTGTCTTGCAGGTGGGTAAAGAGTCTCACTTCCTGGCAGGCCCAGGAATCTCAAAATATTTTGGTAGAACCAGGCAGTGGAGCTCACGCAAATCTGTAGCTACTACAGGTGAAATTTCATGGTGAGCAGATGATTGGCTTCCTAGCTTTGAGGTGCTTTTAAAAATCTCATCCAAGGGGCCAGCACTATGATGCAATGGGATAAAGCCCTGGCCTGCAGTGCTGGCTGCCCCTCTTCCAGTCCAGCTCTCTGCTGTGGCCTGGGAAAGCAGTAGACGATGGCCCAGGTCCTTGGGGCCCTGCACCTGTTTAGGAGACCCGGAAGAAGCTCCTGGCTCCTGGCTTCAGACCGGCTCAGCTCCGGCCATTGCAGCCATTTGAGGAGTGACCCAGAGGATGGAAGACCTCTCTCTCTTTCTCTCTGGCTTGACCTCTCTCTGTAACCCTGTCTTTCAAACAAAACAAAACAAAACAAAACACTTATCCAAGCGCCTGGCATTAGATGGAATGATTAAGATGCCCTTTGGGAAGCTTGCATCCTGTATCATATTGCCTGAGTTCAATTCTCAGCTCCACTCCCCATTCTGGCTTCCTGCTAATGCACACTTGAGGGGCAGCAGGTGATGACTCACATAGTTGAGGCCTTGTCACCCATTCGGGAGACCCTAAGATTGAATTTCCAGCCCTGACTGTTGCAGGCATTTGAGGAGTAAACCAGTGGATGGATGCTGTTTCTCAGAAAAAAAAAAAAAAAAAAAAAAAGGATCCAATCCGAGATTCCTTATAAAAAGTTTTACAGAGCTAAATAGAAGAGAGTATTTTAAAACGTCATTTTTTTTTTTATGGGCAGAGTGGACAGTGAGAGAGAGAGACAGAGAGAAAGGTCTTCCTTTGCCATTGGTTCACCCTCCAATGGCTGCCACGGCCGGCGCACCACACTGATCCGATGGCAGGAGCCAGGTGCTTCTCCTGGTCTCCCATGGGGTGCAGGGCCCAAGCACTTGGGCCGTCCTCCACTGCACTCCCTGGCCACAGCAGAGAGCTGACCTGGAAGAGGGGCAACCGGGACAGAATCTGGCGCCCCGACCGGGACTAGAACCCGGTGTGCTGGCGCCGCAAGGTGGGGGATTAGCCTAGTGAGCCGCGGCGCCGGCTAAACATCATTATTCTTACTGCCTTTATATGAATAATCAAGACATGTTTAATGAGACTAAATTTGTTTTGCAAACAAATCAGTCTTAATTGGATTATCTTTGGTAGAAAAGGGGGTGACTATGGAGAGAAAAATGTTTCAGAAGAAAATAATACACTTATTGTTCAGAGTCTACCTCATTGGTGTGGAGGGTTTCTTATCTACCTGCAATCTGGACGACATCCTGAATTCCTCTAGATTCCTCCAATACTTACGTCTGGCTATGAGCCTCCAAAGGAATATTTCCAATATCTTCCAATCATTTCTGGCTTGCAATGACTCAAATTAAAATTGATCTTTTCCTGGATCTCTTCAAGCTGAAGCTGAACAACTTGATATGCACTTCAGAGATTTCACCATAACAGCTTATGTACAAAGAAGCCTTCCTACCTGTTGTTGAATAGAGTGCTTGGAAACTTCCCTGGGACACCTAATGCAAACCAGGGAAGTCTGTTTGCTACTGGCTGCCTTCACAGTAACTGAAGATGCTTCAAACGCAGTATCTAGAAATCTTCTTGTTTGGCTTCCCTCCACACTCAAAAATGGAGTTTGTAGTTTGCTCTAATCATTAACCTTTTTTAAGCCTCTTATTAAATGGCTGACTGTATGATATGTACTGAGGAATTTGAATTACAAGATACTGTAAGGCCTCAGAATCAAAGTCTCTCTCTGGCCTTCTCTCCCCCCCTCCCTTTTTTTTTTAAGATTTATTTATTTACTTGAAAGTCAGAGTTGCACAGAGAGAGAAGGAGAGGCAGAGAGAGAGAGAAAGGTCTTCCATCCACTTGTTCACTCCCTAGTTGGCCGCAATGGCTGGAGCTACCCCAATCCGAAGCCAGGAGCCAGGAGCTTCCTCCAGGTCTCCCATGTGGGTGCAGGGGCCCAAGGACTTGGGCCATCCTCCCCTGCTTTCCCAGGCCAGAGCAGAGAGCTGGATGGGAAGTAGAGACTGCAACTGGCGCCCATATGGGATGCCGGCACTGAAGGCAGCGCCTTTACCTGCTATGCTACAGTGCCGGTCCCTCTCTGGCCTTCTTTGGCCTTCTCTTGCCTTCCAGTTTACCACCCCTCTTTCTACATCAAAGCAAGCCATAAAACCGAACAGTCACACTCTCCTTTTTCCTTTCTCCCTTGAAGACTCTTCATTCCCAAGGGCTCATGCCTCACACCTAGGACAGAGTGCTACACAGAGAATGCTTAAGAATCTCAACAGACAGACCTTGCTGAATTTTCCCTCACTAGTCTATTGCAATTACATACTATCCTTTTGTGCAATCATATTTCTGCATGGGTGTCCATTCTGCATTAAACCAAAGCATAAAATAGGCTGATTTCCCCTGGGTTTGGGGGCCTTCATTTCTGAATCCTCCCATATCACATGAAACCTTTATTTTTTTCTTACAGTCTTTTGTTAAAAGGACTGTTGGTTGTGTTCCTTCTGATAGGTAAGAAAAGGTATTGTTACTTTTTTTCCCTTACAGGGTCAATGGTCTTTTACCAATAGGCCCCAACTGTTCATGTGCTTGAAACTTGACCCCAAGTGTAGTTATGTTGTGAGCTCATCATGTACTTAGTCCCTTCTGCAAATAGCCATTTCCCTTTCTGCTTCTCTATCATGTGATGTAGCCAGGAAGGATGAGGACCTCACTAGAGGTTGAACAGTTAGGGCCACTTGACTTTGGACTTTTCAGTACCCAAAAGTGTGAGCTAAATAAACAGCAACACAGACTAGGTTTAGTTGCTTTTTTTTTGTCACCTATTTTCTCCTCTTTTGAAATATTGATCTGTAAGCTGCCTCAAGTTGTCATTACTACTCTTTGAGTAAACCTATTATGTACTAGGCACAGCCCCCTTTAATATAAACCCAGGTCTGCTAGACTCCAAAAGGTAACTCTATTAACTGTAATAAGAATTGGGACCCATTGCCAAACCAGTTTGATTTCCCAAAATGAAGTTTAGTGTGAAAGTCACCAGCAGTATCTAATAATAAGCAAAATTAGCAAATTAGTAACAAGGGTAGCTGCCCTTTCAGATCTAATTTAGTACAACCAGCTCCTTGTACGAATGAGAAAATGCAAGGTTGACAGGACTGTGATTTAGAAAACCCACACACATTCTACCCTGTACCTCATTGCCACCCTTGAGGATTGTGTCTGATCATGGGATCAATACTTCAAGATCATGCTTAAACACATTTTTAAAATACTCATTGAGTCTATCATATTGCTGGTAAGTCTATTACTCTACTCTTCCTCTAGGGCTCTTTGCTTGGCATATGCATGGTTTTTCTATGCATATTATCAAATGGGTATGGGATCTGATCTGGTTTGCCAGTTTACTTTCACTGTAGAGTGCTGAATGAGAGGTGTGGGAAGGAGTTTCCAAATGCACATTTTTCTAAAGATGAACCACAAGCAGTATCAATATTTAAAGAAATACTACTCAATATGTTTGTGCACCAGATATATTTTGAATTCTCACCGGCACCATAAACACTTCTACTTCTGAAATTATCAAACAAGCATTGGAAATAACTTCATGAATGACATGTACAAGAATCCTAATGATTAAAGATTTATTCTGAGTGTGTTTGGATTATTATACATGCAGTACATCTGAGAGTCAGTATGACCTGGGATTTTCCCATGAGCTGTAGAGGCAGATAGAGCTGGGTTTGGATCCAATCCTCACCATTAGTACTACGTGATGCTGGTAAATTTGTTAATCTCTGTGATGCTTAAGTTTGCTGTCTAAAGTGCAGACAGTATCAGACCTATGTTATCAGACTGCTGTGAGTTTAAAATATCACAGGTAAATGCCTAGCTAACATAGTAGGGTTGCAGTAAATGATAGTGATTGTTCCAATTATGGCTCATTTACAAGTGTGGAGAACAGATCCAGCTGACATTTGTTGGGAACTGTAAATCAAGAGGTAACACAATTTGGTTAGTTTTCTAAGGTCAGCAAAATCTATAAGACTACATTTTGTAAATCCGCTGAATTATATTTGGTAAATGAAGAACCACTTTAAGCCATACGATTGCAGTGACTACAACAGCATTTTAATAAGATAGCATACTCATTTAACACAGCCTTTATTTTCTGTTTGAAAACAAAATTTCCAGGAAACAAAACAAAATACAATGGCTGGGTTACAAATGAAATAAAAATCACAGTTTCAAAGAACCAAGATAAAACAATTGCTGAAAGGCAGATCACTTGGTTTACCCCCGCCAAAAAAGCCAAAAACCAAAAAACAAACACAACAACAACAACAAAAAGAACCCAAAGTTAATGTCAGAAATGATTAAAATGAAGGTTAACAACATTCTATATAATGCTACATTCCCCAAGTAAGAAAGGAGAGTTCACATATACAACTAAATGTTAAGAGTAGAGAAGTGGCTGCAATTCTGCATACTTCATAGTAAATTATGCATGAAAGTTTATTAACTGCATAAACTTCCTGAGTGGCTCCCATGCGGCGCTAGGTCTACATGCTTAATGTTCATATCAAACAAATTACAGCTGTAAGTGATTGAGCATGACAGACCTTGAACAACTGCACTTTCCGATTCGTCATTGTATCTGCTGAGGGTATGTTCCGGACCACAAATCTAATCTCAAATCTGAAGTTACAAACAAAAAAGAAATGCAATTTCCCACCCCTGCTCCCCCAAAAAAGGCAAACTAGAAGGAAGATAAGCACGCATTTAGGAGTTTATTTTACACTGGCACTTTCTTTTTTTTTTTTCTCAGAGCCCAGTTTCTCTCTTCCCTTCTTGCTTGACTTTTAGCCTTTTGGTTAGAGGTTCCTTTGTTGTTGTTGTTGTTGTTCTTTTTTAATTGAAACCTTCCAGAATGGCAGCTATTGGTTTGTACACTCTGCCAGCTATCTAACCTGAAAATAACTTTAGTGTAACCTAGCTACTGTCCAGGTCCCTGCATAGGTTAACTGTCAAGGTCCCTGACCAGTGCTTGTGTTCATCCTTCACATACAAAGCCTATTTCCTGGATGACCTGAAAACATTTGGCTCCATGACAAATTTCATCCTAATCTCACTTCAAAGAATTTTAACAAGCTTGAGTGTCATCAGTTCACAATCTCAATTGGTTAATTTAAAAAGTTTGTCAAGCCTAGAATTACATTTACCAAATCAAAGGCCTTTTGACACACACACACACACACACACACACACACACCTTTTCTGGTTCATCTTCTAAACAAAAGGGGGGAAAACAAGTCCCCAGTAAACTACAGATTAAAAAATAATCTAGACAATGGCCTGTACACCATCTGAAATAGATCAAGTTTTTCTGAACTGAACAGAAGATGAATTAACTGATGGCAAATATACCTCAGGATTGTAATTAGGCCTGATGACCAAAATACAGTATTTAATAATATTCCATATGCTGCAGTTTTTGTTGTACAGTAAACATGTGAAACAAGGAACATCTGGTTACAAACATTCGCTGATTGTTCAGGAGGAAAAGGAATGCATCATTTCCATGACTCAGAAGAGACAGCAAAGAAAGATAATGTCTCCATTAACTTTAGAGACTAGATACATTGTTATATAAAACACCCTTACCATCAACCGCAGTTCAACTTAAATGCATTCAGACATTGTAAGGTAACAAAATTATCAATGCAAATACTTAGCAGTATGCTAATATGTTGAATGACAAGCCATTGTTGTAGGATTTGTAAAATACTTCACTGTGGTAGTTAAAGCAATTTCAACCCATAGCCCTTTAGGCACACAGACAAGAAATGCGTCTCTAATAAAGAATGCAAAGTTACAGGCACTGGGCTAATTTAGGTACTTTCTCACCATCTGTCAATTTTACAACCGACTCCTACAATTAACTCTTATATTGCCACCAGTTAGATTTATTTCTCTGTTCTCTATCCTCAAATCCCAAAGCTTATTTCACATAGGCACAGGGCTCTTGTCATTTAAACACAGACTGGTGGCAGAGTTGATGGTTCCTTTCTTCTCCAAACTCATAGTTTGTGCTGGGACAAAGAGGCAGGCCAGATGTATAATCTGAAAGAATACTGAGAATCAAGGCAAAAAAGCAAGTTTCACAGGCAGTGTTTACTTGTGCACCCAAAATAGCACTGAAAACGAGGTAGATTAAAAAAAAGTAATTGGACTGGAATTAAATCTGGGGTTCTAAAATGATATATCCCATCAGTGTACATAACACTCTACACTCAATCCAAAAATCACAGCGGAAAAGTGCCTTTTAAACTTTCACAGATAATTTTGCTGTCAAACCATTGGAATTCATGCTGGCTAGAAAACTGGCAAGGAAGAGATGAAAAACAGAATGGATATTTGTTATATTACAGCAAATTACCTTAAATAGAGATTCAAGACTGCTACAAATATACACAGGGTTATTTTCATTAGATTTACACCAATACTGGTTTCATAGTCGTATGATGTTAACACCCAACTTCACAGACATAGCAGCAGGTACATCATGATGAGATGCTCACATTGCCACATATGGAGATACAGTACTATTCATCAGACTTGCACTTTGAGAAGTAAACATGGTGGCTGGACATAGACTATGTCCCAAATAAACTTTACAAGCACGATGGTTACGTACAACCTTTATCTGTTCTACAAGAAGGAAAATGAAAAGGACAGGTTTGTGTGTTTTTTGAAAACAGGTAGAAGGCCCTTTTATATATATATATAGTAGGCTCTTGGTTAAGTAAGAAGGGAGCTTCTGAGCTTCATGTTAAGAGTTAATTAGTTCTGGGAGGAAGCGTACCTCAGGCAAGGATGAAAACAGCACTATTATATGATTTATCAAAATTATGAAATAATGCAAAACCCCTAGATAGAAAACTAGTCAATTTATAGTCAAAGTGACTATAATTTGAATCAAACATGTAAGTATGGGAGAAAATAATTCAACTAAAACCCCACAGCAATGTGAATAACATTGTTTTCTTCACTTCTGCACAAACCCATTTTCTTCTGTATTTTAAAATTTACACATATGTTACATATACATAAGGTATACATAGCACATGTGTTAACCTGGCCACTGCAGTCAGCATGGAGACAGCAGTATGTTATTCACCACCTTTAACCTTTAGAAGATTACTTTTCTTTCCAGCAAAAACCTGAAAAGATTCTAAATATTACAAGGCACTGCCAGAGTCTGCAGGCAAACAAGAATGATGAACTATATGTAAAACAGAGTTGGTGACACAATGCAGGACATAAGATATAGAGCAGCCATTAATTAAATGTGTATGTTATCCATGGAGCTTTTTTCATCCTGGGGTACACAGCTTTAAAATACTGTGACAAGAGAAGAAGGGGGTCATAAAACCTGCAGTATTTTCCCTTTCTTGGTTGTATGTTTCAATGTAATTCCACAAAGCCAACTCTTTTAACAAAATATGGGCAATTTTAAAGAACTATGGATTTTAGGAGCATTGTTTTTGTACACATTGGAAAAACTGCAATTAGACTAATGCATCTGCATTAGACTAATGCAATCACTTCAACTTTGCAAACCAATATTCTAGAAGAAATTTGAAGAATCTGTACATGAGTTTTGCAAAGACTCATTTATACTAGATCATGTTCTATTAAAAAAAAATGGGCTGTCATCAACAGCAATTCTCAAAATGCTGCCCTAGATGCCCCAAATGATAGTGACAGAATCTTTGTGATGATAGGTGTTATCCTCAGGTAAGCAATGTAATACACATATTTTGAAAAAGGGTACTGAAATGTCATAAAATAGACTGTGCAGAAAAAAAAAAGTATACCCATTAAGTTTTCCTCTACCTGGCAAGCCCATGGGGTACGATGGTATGATTTTTAGACAAATATTGAGAAAAATCTGTTAACAGAAATGTTAGGTGACAATCTGGAATGTTTACCAGGAGATAGAATTCTTAATTAGGTAAACACACTAGAAATGACCTTGAAATCTTGAGTGGAAAGTAAACAGTTTGTATATGTATACTTGATAGTTGATAAATACCATTGAAGAATTCTATTTGGGTTTCACAGACTGAGCATTGGGTAACCCTGTGACCAGCCTTTAAGATTATTATAGTTAACCTTCTTAAAAACCAAAGGAGTACATTTTCAAATTGCCTCCCCTCCTTGTAAAACTGGATAAAACCCAGTAAAGTGCAACTTGACAGTGATCTCTCTCAGATTCTAAAGAGGCTGCCAAACTCATCTAAGATCTAAAATTATCTAAGCTGCTATAGATACTAGTAAGAAATTACAACTAAGAAATGGTAACCCAAAAAAATGCTAAGGGCAACTTAAATAGTATCCTTCTAGGGTCTACTATCTCACTGCAGGACAGGGTATGCCCCACATTTTAGAACCCTGTAAAGCCAGTGTTTCATGTGTAAGTATCAAGTAAATTTCACTTCAGAAGAATGGATCAACAAGAGGTGTAACTTCAATCCCCTTGGTTAGGAACACAAGAATTTTTGTCCAATGAGATTTGTAACAGCTGCAAAATATCCCTTGCAAAAGAATGCAAGCCAAACCAATACCTCTCAGATGCTCAAAACCAAAGTAGTGTGCACATGAGAAGCAAGGAGATAGCTGCTTTGAATTATTACCAAAATCCAAATGCAGCTACAGTATCTGAAGTATCAAGGAACTGGTACAGTTCTGTTTTTTCCTTTCCCTCCGCCTCACTCAAAACAAATTCACTCATGCTGCTGTGACGAGGGGAAGAAAATCACATTACAAAGGGCTCATGTTCTGTGTGGGTTGACAAAGTTAATTCTAATTTTATACAGCAAAAATCTTCCTGCAGCAAGTTACCCTGCCTTCTGTGAAAGGTAAACCTAAGATAAACATGTGAAGAATCCCCTAAGACTCCGGCTGTTGGAGAGTCTCACTTTCATCTACAATTGGGGAGAATCAATCTGAATACTTTTTTTAAAGAAAAGTAGTATCCAGCTGCAGACTGCAGCAGTAAAAATAGGGGCTTCTCAGCAATGCACGGACAGTGTCCTGGAAATGGAGACGCTCAAGCTGAGCTTATGAAAGCATTCTGAACGGTTATTTTTTAAAAATCAAGTATCAAAGAGGATAGGATTCAAAGTGAAAAAACACTTCTGTGTGCAGTGTTCTATGTGCAAGCTGCACATTTCTACAGAAAGATGAGCTGTATCAAATACCACACTAGAATGAAAAGAAAAATACAGTTGAAAGTAAACTCATATGAAGGAAAATATAGCAGAACCCAAGAGGAAGAAATTTTACTATCTTAGGTGTCCTGAAAATAATCTGGAAAAAAATCTCCCTTTTCTGCATTATTTACTCTAATTCACTTGGGCCCAGGAGGGATTGCAGCTGGATTCTGCACTGCTGAAGTTGTAAATGGCTGCAAATTCATCCCTGGTGGGAATGGTCCCCCAGATTGAGTAGGAATTACCACAGACTGTTGTGGGGCTCCCGAAATTCCTACCCACTGTATAGGATACCCTGTCCCCCCCACAGCATTATACTGGCAAACATGGGGCATTCCATATGATGATAATGGCCCAGCAAATGAAGGGAGTGAGAGTCCTTGTGGCAAGGAAGTTGGGACAGCTCCACGGATTTGGGACAGAGAAGAAATCCATGTTGATGTGTAGCCCATAGTAGATGGAGTATTCTACCAAAAACAAAAATAAAAACAAAAGATCAGTTTATTTGCTTTTACCAATCTGTATTCCTTCCTATTCTTTTGGGCTTACTATTTCCATTGTTACTATGAGTCATTGCCATTTATTGGAGCATCTTTCTGTGTGCTAAGGATAACTGCAGGCCTTATTTCATTTCATCTTCATAACTATCCCACCTGATAGGGTAGTCATTTTCAGATGAAGAAATGGAAACTCAGAACTAGTCAACTACCCAACACCACTAAGCAAGTTAATAGTGATGTGGGGGATTTGAACAGAGTTCCAGCTAACTCCAAGGCCAGTATTAAATCCCTGCTTGGGTTTTAGATCCTCCCCACTTTCCTCATGCTAGTGCTTACTCTTCTATTTGTATTTCTTTCTGTTCGTCCTGCCATTCTCTATTACATAATTCTTTGGAGATATAGGAGCATGATTTATTGTGGCAAAGGGGAAAGGACCTGAGATATAGCAGGTGCTCAGTAACTTTCTTAAAGTCTAACATTTCTCTTCTATTCTTAGAAAGTGAAACTGACAAGAGTGAGCCAATTTTTGGCAATATTGAGAAAATGCTAGTATATTTCTACCTAACTTGTCATTCTGTATTGTGATTATTTATATTTATGGAGATTATATGAAATCTCATGCACATAAGAGAGCTTACTGTCAATCCCAAATGCTTAGTTATTCTAAATTTAATTGTCAAGCTAAAACTGAACTTTCAACTAAACTTGAGTTAGAAACTCTCACCTTAGGGTAACATTTTTCACTTCAATAAAAATGAGCAACAGTATCCCATGAGGAAGAAAACATTTATTTAAAGTTCAAAAAATTTCTTTTTCATATCACGGTTTTCCTTATATTAAAGCAAAATTAAGTACTTATGATTCAAAACAGCACATATAGTATGATCATATTTTTAAAAGTTATTTCCATGCTTTCATATAGAGTCATGGTATTTCAAACAATGTTTATCTAAAGTTAGTGACAACTATTTCTGGGTGGTGGGATTTGAGGGTGGTATTTTTAACTTTGTACTTTTCTGCAGGCTAAATCCTATAATGAGTATTATCATTCCATAAACAATGGTAACACAGTTCTTATTTTCTAAAAATAGACTGAATTAGAAACAGGTTAGAAATCTCTTGGGTCTCTCAAAGGTTATCTCTGATTCAAATGTGCAATCCCAAAACACAATGTCTGCTCATGTTCCCCAAAGTGTTGACTGGCAAACTGGAATGATATCCAGTTATATGATCTAGAAACATAGCCTTGGTACCTCCCTTCCTGCATACATTCATTCTATCACCAAATCGTGTCCATTACTTTCACTTAAAACATTTCTTGGAATCCTTTCACTTCTCTTCAACCCAAACTTTCCCTGATCTGTAATACTAACTCTTAACTACCCTACCAACATCTACCCTTAACCCTCCAAAATTCCTTTCTTCTTGCTTCAGAGTGAAAGTCACTACATATCAATAAAAAAAAAAAAAAAGTCAGATCATGCCAATCTTAAGGCTTCAATGGCTGTCCATCTTTTTAAAAATGAAGACAAAGTTAGGTATCATCACCACTTTTAAGGTCCTATCTACCTCCTTAAACTCATTATGTATCACCTCCTTCTTGCTGAACTGGTCAACATTCAGTCTCTTCATATTCCCTACCTCATACAGTCCTTCTCCATATGCTCTTCATTCTGCTTGGAATCATAGTCTCTCCCCTTTCACCTAGTAACTCCTACTCATTCTTCAGATCTCTGCTCAACCACAACTTTCTCAGGGAAGCCATCCTTGATTTCTCTTATTAGGTCAAATTTCCCTTAATGTATGGTATCCTATATCTTTTATGGTTCTTATTACAGCTGCAATTTTATATTTATTTATATCTAACTATACATATTATAAATCCCATGTGGACAGGGATAATACTTGTTTATACCCACCAAACCCATGTACAGTAGAAGGCTTACTCAGTAACGGGTTTGGTATATAAATTTTGTACACACAAACATTTCTAAGTAAGGCTATAGAACAGTAACATGTAAGAACATTAGTGGGACAGGCTTTCCACACACATAGTCAACTGAACCTAAAAATATAAAATAGTTAACCACGTATAACATACCGACTATGTAACTAACACCTGTAAAGATAAAGATTTATAGGTGTGGTTTCATTTAATCCTCCCAGTAATGCTGTAAGGCAGGTTATTATTCCTGCTTGAAAGATACGAAAACTGAGGCATAAGGAGATACATGACTTATCTAAATCATGCAACTAGTAAATGACTGAGCTGAGCTGAGAATAGTATGGCTGTTAAAAGACCATCACCACTTTTAATCATACACCATTTTCTACTCATACTTTGTCCAAACATTCTCCATAAACCATCTCCTGATTAGTCAACAAATGTCTCCACACAGATCTACTCTGAGGGTCTTTTACTGGCAGTACAAATATTTACATCTTGAAATTTGCCTCTAAGGACTTCCCATTTTTACAATGGTGAGACTATCTGTATATAAATCAGTACCAAGAATAAGATAAACACACAGAGCCTCCAAGTAGATACACTGCTGACTGGTTTGGGAAATCTAGGCTTTTGAATGTTTTTACACAATATTAACCGTAAGTATAGTTTCCAACAGTCTTTGCCAAACAATAGTCAGTGACTGCATATGTACATACATGTACACAAACATAACACACACTGCACACTCTCAAATCGTTTTGAATTATGAGGGTTCATATTCTAAGCCTTGATTTATATTTCATAGGTCTACTCATTTTGAAAAAGTGTTATTTACTTGAAAAATTCAAGCAAAACTATCAAATAAAATAAGGCCCAAATTCCACCATCCAGCATATTGTTCATGGACTTTTATATTTCTCCATGTATATAAATATATCTAATGTATATAATTTTGCATAAATTACATTATACGATATATGCTGTTCCGTAAACCTGCCTTCTTTCCACTCCAGAATTGTGGACAATTTTCTACATTTCTGTTGTAAGTATACCTGATTAAGGCCACACATAATAAGTAGTCACTGTATCTACAAACTTAAGATACTTCTTACAACAGTCTAGCTTAAATAGCTTTACAAGTCTTTTTCATGATTAACAAATAAGACACCTTTTTGGTTTTAAAAATATTGATGCATAACATAGGATAAATTTTTCTCAAAACCCAAACTCTTCTTGTACCACAGGACTGAATTAACCCTCACTCCAAAGGCTTTCTTCATTGACATTTGATGGGGTTCTCTTTAGATAGTCTAAAATCAGGATCAGCAAATTACAGCTCTTCATAAATCAAGTTTTAATGGAAAAAAGTCATGCCCATTTATTGACATATTGTCTATGGCTGCTTTTGTGCTATAACAGCAGAGTTGAGTAGTTATAACAGTACAGCTTGAAAAACCCAAAATATTTAGTAACCGGCACCTTCTCAGAAAAAGTTTTCTGATTCCTTGTTGGGAAGATAATTTTCCAAGACATAACAAATCTGGACATGGACAAAATTCTTTGTTATCAAATCATACCACTTTCTCATAGTACTATAACCATAGTACCAATTATTATTTTTATGGTTTCAGTTCTCAAAAAATAAAAAAAAATTGGGTATAAACAACTTACTTCATATACTCTGTTCCAGTTTTCTGTCTCTAATTTCTGTTGGCTCTGTTTAAGTTGGTTTAAACTTGGCTTAGTAAGAGAACTTCCTACTGTTTCCTTTGTCCAGTCATCCACCAGCTTGTGTAAGTCATCTGTGAACATCCCTTTTTTACTGGCTGGAGATTGCTGGCATGTTACTGTATTACTCTCCACACATGGTGGATCTATAAGAAAAAACCAGGAAAACCATGAAAAAACATTGAGAAATATGTAACTCTTCTTTGGCCAACAATGCAGTTGTATTTATAATGGAAGACCACACATGGGGTACAGATTAGGGTAACCAGACATTCTAGTTTACCTGGACAGTCTTGGTTTAAAGCTGTTGTCCTGGAGCACCCCTTTGACTCCCAAAAGTTTCTTTTTGTTAATTTGGATAGTAAATTATATGGTTACCTTAGGTATAAATCAAGTACAATAAACACTATCTCCAAAAACACCAGTATAAACTCTAATCGTTATCTCAGCTTCTTCTCAGGTAGATACTTAGAAGGGCTAATAAAGGATTACAGAATGTGAAAATGTAAAGAACCTGAGAAGTCTAGTCCAAACCACTTGTTTCTTAATGGAGAAGCAAGGCCCAGAAAAACTAAATTGACATGCCTGAGTTCTTGCAACTGGTTATAGCAGAGCCAGGCCTGGAACTCTAGTGCCCAAAGACTCTATCTTTTCAATATACCAGGCTGCCTCTCAACAAGCTTCAGAAAACTGGAATCTCATTTTATTTTATCACTATTATTTCTGCCTATGATTATAATTAAAAGAGAATGTGTATCTAGAATAGCAGAAATGAGGACACGGATGGCTTGATGAAGAGCCTCATCAGTTCTGGAACGTACTATGTTCAAATAAATGAAAGAAATCAATTACAGAGGACTCCATTGGTGCAGTTTCCTAATCTGAACATCACACTACCTTTAAATGATAACTTAATACTATTATCCATACTTACTAAATCATTCTCATAGAAAAGATTCATATGGTTCCAATTCCTCTGATTTACAAGCCACTTAGAGTGGGTCTAAAATTAATGTTAGAAAATATGGTTGTGAAATTTAAGCATAATAACATGTGCAGAAATTTAAACAAGCACATGAAATTTTCTTGTACATTTTATGGTACATTTTTCCATATTATATAATTTTATTTAATTTACTACTATTATTTTATTTCATATTATCCAGTCATGAAAATACAGAAAATGTTAAAGATAATGCAAGATGCTTCCATATTAAGATTTTTGAAAGCTTTCTCATTCACTCCTCTCTCTCTCTTCCTTGAAATGTACAACAGGCTTGTGATACAGGCACAGCAAGTAGTATTCTATTTTATAGATGAGGAAATGGGCACCTAGAAGGTAAACAACTGGAGTTATATGCTAGGGCTAGAATCTATTTTCACTGTTGGGTCAGAGTGCTTTCCATGGTATCATGTCAATCCATGTAATAAGCTGGGAAATAGATGAGGAAAATACTTAGTAAGGAGGAACATAACAATTTCTTTTTTAAAAAATAGATCTTTATTTTTTATTTTATTTTTAAAAGATTTATGTATTTATTTGAAAGGCAGAATTACAGAGAGGCAGGAGCAGAGAGAGAGAGAGAGAGGGAGAGAGAGAGAACTTTCATCTGCTGGTTCACTCCATAAATGGCTGCAATGACTGGAGCTGGGCTGATCTGAAGCCAGGAGCTTCTTTTGGGTCTCCCACGTGGATGCAGGGGACCAAGGACTTGGGCCATCTTCCACTGTTTTCCCAGGTGCATTAGCAGGGAGCTGCACTGGAAGTGGAGCAGCCAAGACTTAAACAGGTGCCCATATGGGATGCTGGCACTGCAGGTGGCAGCTTTACCTGCTATACCACAGCACTGGCCCAAACACAACAATTTCAATGATGACTGATGCATAGTCAGTCTCTAAGAACCTACTGAAAGTTCAGAATCAAGGAAATTGATTATTATATTAAATGGAAACAGTGAAAATTGCTAGCTTAATGAATTAACTGGAACATACACAACAGTTTTATAATATTTACTAATTTGAGGTAACCATGATGTATGAAAATGACATACCATATTGTTGGAATTGCTATTTTTCTAAGGCTTTTAAAATTCCGAGACATACATGTCAGTGTATAATACAGATGTCATTTTTTCTTGCTATCCCTCTGTACATTAATTTAATCCGCAGTCAACTCCAGTAAGAGAACAAATAGTACAACAAAGTTAGGGAGGGCAGACTCCAGAGTTAAAACCTTGATAGATGGTGTTCTTGCCCTGGAAAGATGTCTGGCAGGGAGGATGGAAAGGAAAAGAAAGCTTGGCATCCCAGTGGCAGCAGTTTTGCCACCCAGCTTCTCTCAGTAATATTTTTGTGCTCAATTCCTTCAGCTCCTAAAATATCTATTGCCAAGAAGTAGATTTAAATGTCATTCATTTAAGAAAATTTCTGGGGGCTTGGCAATATGGTACAGCAGGTTCAGCTGCCATATGTAATGCCAGCAATCCCATATCAGAGTGACAGTTTTGAGTCCCAGCTGCTCTGTTTCTGATCCTTCTCCCTGCTAATGTACTTGGGAAGGCAGTGCAAGATGGCCCAAGTACTTGGATCCCTGCAACCCACATGGGAGATGTGGATGGAGGTCAGGGCTCCCAGCTTTGGTCCTGGCCCAGCCCCAGCTGTTGTAGCCATTTGGGGAGTGAACTAACAGATGGAAGATCTCTTTCTTTCTCTGTCTCTCCTTCTCTTTGGCCCTCTGCCTTTCAAATAAATAAAATAAACCTTAAAAATAAAAATTTCTACATTAAGGAAAAACACAATGCCAATACTCTTCTTGTGTACAACTCTGGTGGAACAAGTTATCTGAATACTCCGTTGGTAGTCAGTGGTAACTGCTGCCTGAGCGGCACAAGAGCCAAAAATCTAACAAACCAAAACAAGCATTTAAATGAAATGGGTTGGGGTAGTACCACTCCTAAGTAGGCAACAGAAGGTTCTACTCAGTTGTACAGACGCACACTCCTCCAAAGTTACCAAGAATAGTGTGCTATATGAAATGAAAAATGCTATTTGAATGTGACTCAGTGCCTCACTAGGCTTTACATTTGACAGGAACACTTAATTACTGATTTTATTTAGAAGCTATTCATATCACACTATAAAAGACCACTTAAAGTTCATAAATCAGAAAGCCCCTATCAATACACATTAAAATAAATAGTCTACAAATATCATTTATGATTGGTAACAGTAACATTATGTATTAACTTCAAAGGTGCTCTTTAGTATGCATTTCTTACTGATAAAAATTAAATAAAACCAGAGTTCAGTTCTTGGTGCTCTGTTTAGTTCTTTCTGCTAAGATATACCTACATTCAAATAGTTTCAGAGTTTGCCTCACTACAAATGTTTCCATCTCTTATCTTAAACCTTGATATCTCTCTTCAATCCCAATTTTACAACCAATTCCAAAATGCATTTCTCTACTTGATGGCAATAAATCATTCCAATACAATACAGAGTCAAACTTATCATGGTCACAGCATAATAATCCACCTAAAAGTTGTATTCCTGTTAAAGATACCACATTTTCTACAAACCACCTACACTCAGACCCTCTGAACCTCTACTGCCCCCTGCTACCCTGCAACACACACACCCACACAGATAGAGTCTACAACCACATGACAGAAAATTATCAAATACAACATCTCTTATCTATTTTCATATCCATAATTTCTTAAGCTCATTATCATCTTGTACATGGACTACTATAATTTTAACGATCTAAATGGATTCACTCCTTGGCTATCACCACTATACTCATATTCTTCATACTACCACCTGATTAATATCGATTAAATGCTGTTTTTGACCCTGCAAGACATTGGCACAGGCAAAGAGTTCTTGGAAAAGACCCAGAGGCACAGGTGATCAAAGCCAAAACTGACAAATAGGAATATATCAAATTGAGAAGCTTCTGTACTGTAAAAGAAACACTCAGGAAAGTGAAGAGGCAACCAACAGAATGGGAGAAATTATTTGTAGAATGTGTAATTGATAAAGGATTAATAACCAGAATATATAAAGAGATTAAGAAACTCAACAACAAAGCAAACAACCCAATTAAGAAATGGGCAAAGAGACATCTTTCTTTATTTCTTTTTTTTTTTTTTTTGGACAGGCAGAGTTAGACAGTGAGAGAGACAAAGGTCTTCTTTCCATTGGTTCACCCCCCAAATGGCTGCTACGGCTGGTGTGCTGCACCAATCCGAAGCCAGGAGCCAGGTGCCTCCTTCTGGCAAAGAGACATTTTTCAAAAGAGGAAATCCAAATGGCCAACAGACACATGAAAAAATGTTCAGGATCAAGGCCAGTGCCATGGTTCACGCCTCCACCTGCGGCGCCGGCATCCCATATGGGCACCGGGTTCTAGTCCCGGCTGTTCCTCTTCCAGTCCAACTCTCTGCTGTGGCCCGGGAGGGCAGTGGGGGATGGCCCAAGTGCTTTGGGCCTCTGCACCTGCATGGGAGACCAGGAAGAAGCACCTGGCTCCTGGCTTTGGATCAGTGCAGCGCCAACTGTGGCAGCCATTTGGGGAGTGAACCAACAGAAGAAAACCTTTCTCTCTTTCTCTCTCACTGTCTGTAACTCTATCTGTCAAATAAATAAATGAAATCTTTAAAAAAAATGTTCAGGATCACTAGCCATTAGGGAAATGCAAATCAAAACCACAATGAGGCCAAACCTCACCCCCATTAGAATGGCTTTCATAGAAAAATTAACAAACAACAAATGCTGGTGAGGATGTGGGGGAAAAGGTACCCTAATCCACTCCTGGTGGGAATGTAAACTGACATAGCTGCTGTGGAAGACAATATGGAGATTCCTCAGAAATCTGAATATAGACATAGTAAGTCTATGACCCTGCCATCCCACTGCTAGGAATTCATCCAAGGGAAATGAAATTAGCATATGAAAGAGTTACCTGTACTCCCATGTTTACTGCAGCTCAATTCACAATAGCTAAGACATGTAATAAACCTAAATATCCATAAACTGAAGACTAGATAAAGAAATTATGGGATATGTACACTACAGAATACAACACCATGGTAAAAAAAAAAAAGAAATCCTGTCATTTGCAACAAAATGGATGAAACTGGAA